CAGGGGCGAGTAGCGGCAGCCACCAATCTCAGGAGGGGCATGTGCTCCCCCCCCCCCCCTCCAATGTCTTCCCCCTACCAGTCTACTGTGCCTTTAAGTCTATCTAGTCCAATGGATCTCAACCTTTTGAGTCAAGACACCCTTCTGTGGGCTCATGGCAACATTTAATAGGCTCAAGGCATCCCTCAGAAAATGCCAGCCCTTAGTTTCCTTTCATTTTTTTTTTTAACAACAGAAAAATAATAACACAATTCTTCTGTTGCAAAGACTTCCAACCAGGGCAGAATGTTTTTGACACTATGGATTCCTCTTTGAAATCTCTGGGTTTATCTAGTGAATCAAGTTTGCAGTTGTGGAAGTATAACATTGTATGGCACCCCATGGCACCACTTGAAAGGATTTGAAGGCATTATGCCACCTGGTTCAGAATTACTGATCTAGTCTGTTTGGCTGTTCCCTGTAGGAGGATGAAACTGCAGAAGGCTTGTAACAGCACTGATTTTGCATTGGAAATTTGCACTAATTACCTCCTGTTCTTTTTTAATTCCTGCAGCAAACCATTGTACCATTTAGGCAGAAAATAATCAACAAGCCAGTAAAGCTGCACATAATATTTATAAAGTCAGTGCAATAATCTCTGAATATTCCATAGCTCCATTATGTCCATATCTTTACATCATAGTTGTTGCATGCTTTAGGATTTTAAAGCAGCTGTCACAACATGTATTTAGAGTTTTAAAAGTCCAGTTTTAAAAAGTTTAAATGAATTATTGATGTAACTATTTGGCAATATACATTTTTCATTAATATTTACCAGTGAATATTATTTAAGGATATTCTCCTGAACGCTCAAAAAAAACCCAGTTCTGTACACACAATTGTGATCAGAAAAAAGATTCTGTTAAAAGGTCATGTGGAGGCCCCAATGATCATTAATTACTGAAAAAGTAATAATAAGTAATAAAAATTGTCTTCAAGAGGAGGTTAGATAACCATCTAGCTGGGGTCATCTAGACCCAGCACTCTTTCCTCCCCATGCAGGGGGCCGGACTCAATGATCTATTGAGGTCCCTTCCGACCCTAACTACTATGAATCTATGAAGCTGCAGTGAATATAAATCATCATTTTAAAATGTAGCTGATTAATAAGAGAAGCTAAAGAAATCTATGAAATATCAGTGGCCAACCAAGTGAAAGATAAGAAGACATTTTTAACATGTAAAACTAAGAAAATACGCTGTCACATCTACAAGTATTGCAGGATGCAGATAGTAAAACTATAATTAGTGAGACAAACTGAACTAGAATAATATATGCATCCCATGTGATGTTGTGTGTGGAACAGAAAGTTTAGCATGTGTAATCAGTAGGACAGATTGTTTGCCTTCAAGAATTTTGGTGAATGAGTGCATAAACAAGCTGTTACAAGGTAAAAGAGACCAGGGGTCCCTTTACAGTAGGGCACGTGTTCCTTGCAAGTGCCTGTGGATGCACTTGTATTCTGCAGTAACTGAAAGCTAATCCAGAGTAATGTATTCCTTTTGCACCGAAGTGTACACTATTGCAACAAGGATAGAGCATGAACAAAGGCAGTTTGTGGACAGCTCATTATGGATCCTAAATCCCCACTGAACTGTCCTGCTTATATGCTATTCCTTTAAAGCAGTACTTTACAACCTGTAGTTCATGGGATCCAGCCCACAAAGTGCTTGGATCCAGCCCATGGCTGAACTGGGGAGTGGCGATACACAACTGAGCCTGGTGCACCCTCTTGTCTGCCCCATGCCGTGCAGCCAATTCCCCCCTACAGCATCTGTCCCCTCATCCACTACAGCAATCAGTACACACCATCACTGCCAAATTTGCTTCTTGCCACTGCTGTTGGGGACAGAAATCAGAGGTGCATAGTGCACGTGGTGGAGGCAGAAGTGATTGAACAATGGAGGCAGTCAAAGGCAGCCTGGCTGCCATAGAGTGGGTGTTACAGAGGGGCCAGAGGTCCAGGCTGATGGGGTGATAAGCAGCCTGGTCATACGCAGCAGCCCATCACTCTAAAATATTGCCAACCCCTGTCTCAAAAGATCTGACTGAATAGGTCTCTTGTTTTTAAACAACTATTGGAAATGGGGAAATTGCACAGAGTTCAAAAACTACCAACAGAGTGCTAATTACAGACCCTGTTACAGGCCCTAAGGAGTTAGAAGCCAAAAAAAAACGTATTTACTGGATGCATCTACATGTTCATTAATGCACAGTAGTTACTGTGTATTTAGTTTAGTACTTGCTTAATGAAGTACTAACAAAATGAACAGTAACTAGTTACTACGCAGTAGCGCCTGCACATGGTTTTTTGTGATGGTTACTGTGCAGCAGCCTAATAACACTGCACAGTAGCTTATTAGCATGGTTTTTTACCAGCATGTTATTGCTCAGTGTTATTAAGCTACTACACAGTGTCTCATGTAGACATGCCCAGTGAAAATGTACTTAATGCCAGTACACACTTAATGCTTAATGGAAGGCAAAACTTGCTAACATGTATCATCTTCTTCTGATAAGACTGCAGTCCTTGTTACAGTCTACAGGGATTTCCCCATTGCTTTTAATGTGACATTTTACATGAGATTCTGTATATACACTACATGGTACTAAGAAGGCACATAATAGACAGATTAAAAATGAATTCACTTCCAGATCTATACTGCATCTGGAAGACTGACCATTTCAAAATGGTCTCTATGAAAAATGTAAGGAGCCAAAATACTAGGTATTAAGACAGTATCATGTTCAACTGCCAGTGCACTGACACCTTGACATTTGAATGGGGCAGAATTATTATATTGTGAGCGTGATTTTGAATATCACATTAGAAAAGAAATAGAGGTTCTGAAATATTTTTCATATATTTAAAGTCTATAAAATCCTTTTTGTGTCTGGGCATTTGATCAAAGAAGTGAGAGAAGTGAGATAAGGATGCCGTTAGTATACATTTGGGAATCTAAGCTCTTTTTTCTCATGATATGTAAGCTGTTCTCCTCTTCAACTGAATCCAGATGCCATTATTTGGACGAAGAATCAGTTCTGCCACCAAGCCAAGCTCTTCTCTCTTTTGATTTGCTTCTACCCAAAATCGGCGTAAAAGGGTTGCGATGACAGTTTTCTCTTCCATCAGTGCAAAACGCTGGCCTACAGGGTAAATTCAAAGAAAAACAGCTGGAGTACAGTATTAACAGTCCCTACAACTGCACTTCAGCAGTTTTCTCAAAAAGGGGATGATTGGACCTCAGGTACTGTGGTTGGAGTGTTACCTCTTGTATGTCTCCTGGACTATCATGGGTGTGGCAAGGGTCTTTCTGGCCCCTAGTAGATATTAAAATAACGGCATGATACTGATCTGAGGAATTTTAAGCCCCATCACAAAAATTACAGGTTCTGTTATGCCAGACATGCGTAGCAGGACACATGATGTTTAGGATGGAACATAAAATTCCACAGATCCTCTCCCCTTGGTCAAGGCCAAACTGGGACCTGGAGCTATCCCCTACTTGGATCCAGGGACTAGGCAGAGGGTGGCTGCATCTCAGACCTCAGCACTATCCCACACCTGATCACAGGTTTCAGGTGTGAGGGCTGTATCCCATGCCTCGTCCTGATGATCAGATCATTGGCACAGGGTATGCAGCAGCCCTGGGTCTGGCCATGTTCAATTCAAGGCATAATACAAACCAGCCACAAAGAAATTACACATTAAAAATGGTTCACCATTGTATCATACCATAAATCAGCTGAAAATGTGGCACGTTACAACTTATGGTGCCATTTACAAATTAACCACATCATAAATGCTATGTCTTCCAGAGCCCATAGTGATATCTTTAATTAGACTAACTGCAGGCCCTCAGGAAGGGCAGCACATGGTTGAAATCTTGTCAAACCCTCTCTTCCAACAATGGAGTTGGTCCAATAAAAATTATCACAAAAACCTTGGCTATCAGGTGTCAAGATCAGAAATAAGTATGGACCAAAATTTTGAGATACTACTGAAAATGGAATTTGGCTTTTGTCCGAGTTTGCTTCCCTTACAGGGTTAACTTTACAATAAGTCTGGCTCTCCAGCATGATTGTCTGGCCGCAGCCTCAAATCAGTCTGGTCAACATGGTGCTCTTCCCAGCCTACCATCCTACAACTGGTTGCCCAGACTGATCCAAGATGGCCTGAAGCCTCCAAGAGGCCATAACCCTCCAATCACTCCATCACCCGAGTGGCTTGCTGACCCTTCACTTCCCCTTCCTGCATAGGAATAGGAAGTGTCTGGGCAACAGGGCTCAGCTTGATCCTAAACTGCTTTGCTGTTTTCTCTGGCTTGTGCTCTGACTGCTGTCTGTCCCCTGCTCTCCTGAAGTCCTGACTCAACTTGTTCCTAGACCCTGCTCTCAGACTGATTTTCTGGCTTCCTGGCCTAGCTTGGGCCTTAAGATTCTGCTCACTCCTCCTGACCCCGGTAGATACTTTGATCACCAAGTGGCCCAGACCTGGCTACCTATGATCTGGCATGACAAAGATGAGCTTAAAGATGCCAACTGCACACAGCAGGAGCTTCAGAGAACACCTCCAGAAGTGTACAATGACCCACAATCATCTATTTCTAAACTTTCACCAGTGTTAGGTACTTCAGAGAAACAGCGGAAGACATAATCTTTACACCTTAAGAGCTGGCTAACTTTGGGAATTCAGTGAACACTCCAGTAATGACTACAGACCAATGAGGGGATGAAGGAGCCCTTAAATTTCCCCTTTACAAGCACTCATGATTTGTATATATGTCACAAGGGAAGAGATTGCCTCAAAATATTCCCCAGTAGACGTCTAGCTGACTTGAAGGTGATTGTGGTCTTGAGGGAACCATGTCTAGCCTCCCTAAGCCACAAGAGGAGGGAGCATGATGCAGAGTGCCAGTGAAACAAATACCAAGAAAAAGGGAACAAGGGTACTGTGGACTCTGAGAAACCCTATGAGAGGAAAGAGAACATTGTGAATATATCACAAATCTAATATGTGAGATACTAATGAGAAGTGCTGTGCTGCAGTTATCAAGCACTTGAGAGCTTCAGTCTCTATTACAATCCTAAAAAACTCTGCTATGGGTACTGCAGGAAAGGGAGCACCACCTACACAGCCCTGTATATGGGTGTATTATACTTCAGCTTTATTCTGAACTACCCACCGATGCAGTTTCTAGGTCCAGCAGAGAAGGGCACATATGCATAGGGGTGTCTTCCAATACAATTCTCAGGGAAGAATCGCTCAGGCCTGAATTCCTCAGGCTCTGGGAAAACATCTTGTTTTCTGTGCAGTGCATAAGGAGAAACGATTATATCCACACCCTTTGGTACCTTATATCCATCTGCAAGGAAAAGTAACCACACTTGAGTCAAGTAAGTAGCTTTCAGGGAATAGATATAGGGTCCCCAAAATAGCTGACTACTTATGCAATGTATTAATGGAGGAGACGTTTATATTAACTAAAATAAAGAATACAAGTCCATAGCTAAAAACAACATACTAATCCAGGAATCTTGACTCAAGGTCCGGGCAAAGAATGGCACTGAAGGGAAAAGACGAAGGGCTTCCTTAACAACACACTCAAGATACCGTAGTTTCTTCAAATCCTCCATTGTAACATGACGGTCAGAGTCACCTATAGAAAAATCACAATACTTTGTGAGACACAAATATTCTAACTAGACTAAGTGTACTCACCCTTAAAAGGACTCTCAGATACTTTTAACAGCAAAAACTAAACCATAACTCAAGTGTTGTGATTCAGGGTGAATTTTTCACTAAATGTTCTCTTTTTGTTCACGCTATTCAGCTATTATTATTATTATTTATTTATTACTTGTACTGTTTTTAGATGCCATAATCATTCACCAGTACCACACTGTGATCTTCAGTATGCAAATATAGAACAAAGAAACTGTCTGTCTCAAGAATTTTATCATTTAGATTCTAACATCTAAGCAATTTCTTACAATTCTCTTGGAACTAGAGGTGTACCGCTATAATCAACAGCATATCAGATCGCCACTGATAAAAGGAAAATTAACATTATTGGTAATCGGCTATTTTTGGCCAGCATAGCCAAAAGTGTCACTGATAAATGCCACATGCAGGTGTGCAGCTGCAGCATGCATGCAGCCAAGAATGCAGCGCCAATCGGTAAGTCTGTGGGGTTGAAGGAGTACTACGGGGGATGGGAGGGGTAGGGGTGTAGATCGAGGGCCCCCCCACAGTGAGGGAGGGAGTGGGGCAGGCGCTGCCCAGCCAGGGCAGTGAATGTGACCCTTGGAGCAGGGTGGAGCTGTGGGATGCTTGTCTGGGGGGTGTGGGTGGGTCAGAAGGGCGGCTCCCCACTGCTATGCCTTCCCCAGGGGTATGCATGGGGGGCATGTGCCCCCCCCCCCCCATTTGTGTGCAGAGCAGAGGCAGGCTGCCTGCTGCAGGCTTGGGGCCAGGGGCTGGCTGGCCTGTTACTGGAGGGGGAGCTAGCTGGGGCTGTGCTCAGGGCAGGCAGAGATGGGGTGGGTTGGGGTGGCACTGGGAGTAGGGGCTATGGGATGGGCTATAGCCACCCCAAAATTCTGTACAACCACTCCTCCTAGCACCACCACCACCTGCCCCACTCCTGCCCACTCCAAGCGCAGCCCCAGCCCAGCCCCCCTCCCCCCCTGTGAAGCCTGCTGGCGCAGCTCCCAGCCCCCACACAATTGCAGGGGGCACAAACCCCCCCATGTCCCACCCAGGGCTGTGCGCAGTGGCAGGGAGCCCCCCGCCCCTCCCCCCCCTCCCCCCCCCGCTAAAAAAATCTTTTAACAGATCTGTCCCACTCCTGGCCTCAGGGTCACATTCACCATCCTAGCTGGGCAGCACCTGCCCCTGCCCCGCTCCCTCCTTCACCATGGGGGCCTCAAGCTGCTCCCCCCCACTCCCCTTCCCTCCCCACTACCACTTCCTCCCCACAGACTTACCAGCTGGATGCTGCTCTCCAAGCTGCCTGGCTGCATTCCTGTAAATTGGCTATCAGATCAGTATTGGCCAATATGGCTCGTTGGTTGTTAGTATCGGCCAAAATAATCTTTATTGGTGCACCCCTACTTGGGACCCAATCCAATTGCCTTTGTTTTTATATTCATAGGACATTTTTAGCAAAGCCAATGGCAGAAGAAGTGGATTTTTATTCCTTTGTACACAGCAAAGGAACGTGTGTACCACATACAACTATACCAATATCCAATAGAGGGTAGACATTTACCAAACACTTCATCCAATTCCATATCCACTTTCTTCTGGGCTTCTGGATAACATCCCAGTAAGTACAAGACCCAGCTCATAGCAGCAGCTGTTGTATCATGCCCCTAAAAAGTACATATTTACATATATACTAAGATTTACATCGTCATTATGCATATAAACAAATATTTATACATGCAAGGCTTATGGGAGATGGCTAGGGCTCTACGCAAATTGAGGAGATAGGCGGCTGACTTTGGAGGCAGACTGCAGAGACAGCTACCATTTTTGCAGTGTTATCACAGTGGGGTCCCTCCCACACCTCTGATTGGCTGCGGGGCCCTGGTGGCCCTGCCCATCACCACTGATTGGCTGAGACAGCTGTCTGTCATGCAGCCCCACCTCTCACTGATTGGTGAAGAGGGACAGATCCCTCAGCAGGGAGGGGTTGAGGTGGCAGCCATCTTGTCTGCTCCCCTTCATGTCGGCAGCCCCCTTCCCCCCCAGTGGGCTGTGCAGCTGGGCCACAATGACTGGAAGGACTGCTGGGTCCCACTGGGGAGCCAGCATTTTATTTTTAGTAAGGATTTTTTTCCCAGCTGATCTCTCACACATCACCCAATTTCACGATGTCTGTGAAACTGATTTAAGTAGGTCCCTAGAGATGACAGTGGCAAAGCCCAACTACAAAAATTTAAAAGTAATAAAAATATGAGTCCATTCCACAAAATACCAAATATCCAAGATACAACAGAGACAAGGATTGTTGTGGGTGATGTTTTATTGGACCATAAATGGCTGGGATAGACATAGACAAGCTTTTGGGTACAGTAGTACCTAACAACCTGAGGAAAGGTACTGTGTTGTATGTGAGAAAATATTGTGGTATAACTGACATGACATACATGTCTTGACATATCTAAGAACATTTAACAAGCAAGAAGCCATTTCCATACATCTGCCACTAAACCATTCTAATTTAGCCGAGTCAGCACTCTCTCTGCATTGATTTTTTTTTTTTTTTTTCAGGAAGATGTTTTCTATTGAACTGTTATCTCGTCTTAGAGATGAGGTGGTTGCCTGACTGCCTCTCTCTGGAGATGAAAAAGTATCTAAGATTGTAGAACATAAGAACTGTAATTTACTGGGATAGACTGTAGGTCCGTCTTGCCCAGCACCCTGTGTGTCACAGTGGCAGAGAACAGATGCTGAAAGGGAGAGTGAACAGGATATGACCAGGGTTTTTTGCACTGTTCCTCACCCACTTGCAGCCTCTAGCATTTAAGGTCTAGGAACCACTGTTTCAGAGGCTGTGCCCCTAACTCCCATGCTCAATAGCTACTGAATCATCTTCCTCCAAGAGTATGTCCAATCCCTTCGGAACCTGGTTAAACTCACAGCTTCCACAACCATCTTGTGGCAATGAGTCCCACACTTTAATAATATGCTGTGTGAAAAAGAACTTCCTTTTGTTAGTTTTAAACTTGTTACCTACTAGTTTCATTTTATCATTCCTAGTTCTTTTATTGTGAGAGATAGTAAATAATAAATCCCTATTTACTTTCTCTTCATTATGTAGTAGTTTGTAAACCCTTATGTACCACCTCAAGTGTCTCTCTTCTAAACTGAATAGGCTTAGCCTCTTTAGTCTCTCCTTGAATGGAAGCCCCTCATACCACTAATCATCCTTGCTGCCCTTCTCTGTACCGTCTCCCCAATCTCTTCCTGGTGTGGTAACAGCTTCAGTTATTTTTGCCCAGGTGCATCTCTTTACACTTATCTACATTGAATTTCATGTGCCATTTAGTTACCCATTTGCTCACTAGTGCCAGATCCTTCTGTAGTTCTTCACACCCTGCCTTGGTCTTTACCACTTTGAATAGTTTAGTGTCATCCGTAAATTTGGCTTCCTTACTACTCATCCCCTTTTCCAGATTGTTTATGTATATATTAAACAATCCCGGTCCCAGTCCAGATCCTGCCGTTTACTTCTTTCTATCCAAAAAATTACCTTTTATGCTCACTCTATTTTCTATCTTTAAGTCAATTTCTAACCCAAGAATCAATCTTCCCTGTAATCCTATGACTACCTAACTTCCTTAAGAGCTTCTGATGAGGAGCCTTGTCAAGGCTTTTTGGAAGTTTAGATATACTATGCCAACTGGATCACCCCTATCCACCTGCATATTGATACCTTCAACAAACTCCAGTAGCTTGGCGATATATGATTTCCTTTGAGAAAACCATGTTGATTCTTCCTCAGGAAGGCATGTTCAGCCATGTGCTGAACAATTCTGTGTGTTTTATTATTTCTACCAGTTTTCCAGAAACAGAAGTTAGACTCACCAGCCAGTATCTGGGGATCTCTCTATAGCCTTTTAAAAATATGGGTGGAAGTAATACTGACAGTCTTCTGGTTCTCTATTTCCAAGACTGTTTTAATGATAGTTTCCATACTACAGTTAGTAGCTCAACCATTTCTGATCTGAGCTCCTTCAGGACCCTAGGGTGCATGCCATCAGGTTCTGGTGATGTTCACTGTATAGTTTACCAATTTTCTCTATGACATCATCTATTGACACCTCAATTTGGGTCAATTCTATTGATTTGTCCCTAGAGAGGAGTGGATCTGGTGAGGGAATCTCCTTAACATCTTTCGCCGAGAAGGCAGATGCAAAGAATGTATCTAGTTTCTTGGCAATGGCCCTGTCATCTTTCAGTGTCCCTTTTACACCCTGATCATTCAATGACTCCCAGCCCAGCCTTCAGTTTATAATGCACTTAAAGCAGTTTTTATTGTTAGCGTTTATGTCTCGAGCAATTTTCTCCTCAGATTCATCCTTGGCTTGTCTTATTATGGTTTTACGTTAGATTTTCCAGAGTTTGTGCTCTTTTTTATTTTCCTCATTAGGGTTTGTCTTCCATCTTCTGAAAGAAGCCTTTTTTCTGTTTATTGCTTCTGCAACTCTGCCACTAAACCATGCTGGCTTTCCTTTGGTCTGCTTTCTTTTTATTTGTGGTATGCATTTGCTCTGTGCCTCCAATATGGCGTTCTTAAGCAGTTCCCATGCTGCCTGCAAGTTCTTCACCTCCTTATGGCCCCTTTTAACTTCTGCCTAACTAGCTTCTTCATTTTGGTGTAGTCTCCCTTTTTAAAGTTAAAAGCTACTGTGGTAAGTTTTCTTTTAGTCTTCCCTCCTACCTGGATGTCAAACCCAATTGTATTGTGGTCACTGTTGCAGACCAGCTCAGTAACACTTACCCTTTGCACTAAATCCTATGTACTACTCAGGACTAAGTCAAGAATGGCCTTTGCTTGTGTAGATTCTAAGACTAATTACTCCAGAAAGCAATTTTTATAATGTCGAGAAATTTGATCTCTGCATCCTGGCCTGAGGTTTTACTGACTCGGTCTATTTGTGGCTAATTTGTGGCTAATTACAGTCACTCATTACTACTGTGGTTTCTGCTTTTGTAGCCTCTCTCAATTCTCTTAGCATTTCTAGGTCACTGCTGCCATCTGGCCTGGGGGTCACCAGACATACTTTTTTCTACTGAAACACAGAATTTCTATCCACAGAGATTCTATGGTACCTGTCTTACCAATTGAAAAATCTATCCTATTTGATTCAATGCAGTCTATCAGGTAGAGTGCCCCTCTCCCACCAGTAGGACCTATCCTAGCATTCCTGTATAGTTTGCATCCTGGTATTACAGCATGCCATTGATTTTCCTCATTCCACCAAGTTTCTGAGATACTTATTATGTCATTATTGTAATTTACCACTAAAATTCAAGTTCCCCCATTTTGCGTATTAGACTTCTGGCATTAGTATAAAAGCATATATACCTTTTCTTGTTGCCTATTTGGCTACTTGTGTGTGACTTTTTGCTGTGAGGGTTCAGCCAGGACGTAGGAGGCTAGGTCTGCAGTAGGCCACTAGGAGCAACCTGGGGTTCAGCACTAACAGGGCACAGGTTGTGGGAGCCAAGAGACATAGTCCAAGACATAAGCCAAGATCAGGAGCCAGGAGCCAGAGAACCGGTGCTGAGTTCCAAGGAAGATCCAAGGTCAGGGTCAAGGAAGACAAGCGGAGGCAGGATGCTGGGGAAGTCAGAGAGAGCAGGGCAAGTGCTGAGTGTGGAAGCAAAGGATGGCTAAGGCCTCAAGGGGGGAGACAGAAATTCCTTAGATAAGAGGAAGATGACCATTAAACTGTCTTGAAAGACACAAGACAGATAGCCCCAAGGAGGGAAAAGCTAGTTTAGGCAACCCTTTGCCTTGAATCTATAAAAGGTTAATTGCCCTGGATGTGAATTAGAGAGGCCACAGCAGAAATCTTCCTGTAAGGGTCTCTCTCCGATAGCTATCGAAATAAAGTTTCTACCTGACCTGATTCCAAATTCTACAGTGTGTTTTTTCCACGACAATTAAATGGTGCTGTGACTCGGATCCACAGCCAACGACGTGTTCGGAGGATCGTCAGCCGTTCCCTGCCGAACCCCAGCGCCACCAATAAAGGTAAGAGGCCTTTTAAATCTCTATTGGGTTGTCGGAAGAGGACTGCTCATAGGCTCCCTGCTCGCGTTGGGTAGCTGGATTCGAACCTTTGTTACAGGTCAGTGTAGAACCAAGACTGGTCATACTAATCTGGTAAATTCTGTCTGTCTCTGGAAAGCCCGCATAACTGGTAGGGAGAATCTGTCTGTTGCACAAGCACTTGCATCCAGCACAACACTGGGCTTTAGGA